TCCCACGTGAAGCCAGACATGATAGCATTCATCTATAACCCTAGTACTTCTACGGTGAGATGAGAGATGGAACCAGGGAGATGGTGGAAACTTGTGAGCATGCAACAGCAACAAACCATAACAGACTTGTCTCATCTGAAGAAGAAGGCGAGGGCCAATCTTCACTGGAGGTTGTCCTCTGATCTCCACGGATGCACTGTGGCAGACACTCACACATCACACACCACAGACATACAAGCAAGAGAATCCTGAAAACCATTTACCAGGCTCTTCCACATTTGCTATGAAGAGAGGAGAGCAGAAGCAGCCCTGTCCACACAGAACCAACAGACTCCTATAACCTTCTCCTGGTACAGGGCCAGCAGGTTGTAAAATAGAACTCATAAATTCATCCAAAGCTTTCAGAAGAGCATGCCAAAACCCATTATGGACCCTTTATCAGATGAGAGACCATACATACCACACAGACACATCAGGAATGCATGCACACACCAACTCCAGGCCAGTTGCTGTGTGGGTATAGTACTAAACTCTTACCCCTCCTCTCATTTAGGATTCTATGAGTGGAATTATTCACAAATTTATAGAAGAGGCAGGGCCGTAGGAGGTAAAGAGACTGTTTAACGGCACTGGGATGCCAACTCAGACTTGGCTAGCTCCACAATGTAGTCTTCTCTGTTTCTGGCTGCCCTCTGGACCTATGACTGGCCCAGGGAAGGCGGCAGAGGCTAAGATGTGGCCACATCTTCATTCTGGCCCCAGATGTCATGGAGTGGTGGCTTTGGGGGTCCACCTCTGACCTTTGTCAAAGTTGGCAGCACCAGGGTGAGGGACTCAGCTCCAGAGGTTTCTATGAAGGCTATCTGGAATGACATATGTATCATTCTCAGTAGCTGAGTCAATTCTGTGAGTTGAATCATTTTGAAATATTTTCTAGGTCAGACATGATTATTATAGAAAATTCAAGGAAAGCAGAGCACTCTGGGAAAGGAAAAGGAAATCAGTTACAATCATCTATTAGCTAGGAAGAGTGGTTCTTCATGTCTTGGTATATTCTTAGACACACACACACACACACACACACACACACACACACACACACATACACAAATACATGCACACATACACATACACAAACATATGCATACACACATACACAAACACATGTACACACACATACACAGCCATGCATATATTAATGATGGAGATTTGTCCTAAGAAATGTACTTTACACAATTTTGTCTTTGTGTAAACTCCCCAGAGTATACTTATACCAACACTGCAGGCCTCAGCTGCATGAAACAACCCATTTCTCCTAGGCTGTACACCCATATAGCGTGGTGCCACACTGGATGCTCTAGGCAGCTGTAGTGCAATGTTAAGTATTCATGTATGTAGCCAAGTTTGTGATGACACATGCATAAGTAATGTTAAGCAGTAGGCTGAACTACAGAGAATATGACCATGCTACTGGCTGATAGGAATTTTCTAGCTACACATTAACCCTATGGGTCCAGTGGTCACTAGCAAAAACTCTCTCTCTCCTCTCTCTCCATCTCTTCTTAAATGCAAATACATGTCATGTCTACATACATATTTGTTTTTACATGTTGCATTAGATTTAATAGTTTAAATCTAGTATTATAAAATTAACATCTTCCCATAGTATTAGCTGCTCTTTAAACTGATTTAACTTTTTTGTTTGTGTGCACATGCATACACATGCATGCAGGTGTGTGTAGAGGTCAGAAGTCAGGTGTTTTCTTCTATCACTTTCTACATTATTTTTCAAGACTGGGTCTAGCACTGAATTTATGCTCACTGATTGGCTGGACTAGCTATCCATCAAGCTCTAGCTATCTGTTCTGCTCCCAACCCTCACCCCGGGTTCTAGAGTTACAGACATGCACCACCATACTCAGCTTATGCATTTGTGCTGGGGAATTCAAACGCAGGTCTTCAAGCTGGCATACCAAGTCTGTATTTACCAGGTGAATGATCTCCCAAGCCCCTAAATGGGTTTTAATGACTTTAAAAGATTTTATATATGTAAATAGGAGAATTTATTGGTGTTGCCTCTATTTTAGATATATAACATGTTCGTGCCCCATACATTTAAGAATGTAAATCAGTGCTTGCAGACCTGCCCTGTTCTTGACACAAATATCTGGGAGTTAAAGTTCTGGGATAGGAACTTTTTTTTAAGTCCCTGATCAATATTGTTAACTTGCTCTTTGGGAATACACTACTAAGTCACACTATCTTTGTCCCTTGTTGACTAGGATGGAAAGTACTGTAGAGTTCACATAGGAAACAGGTGATTTCGGTTAGATCTGAGGTCCAGATGGCCACTCCCTCCCCAAGGGAGTCAATATTTGGAATGAAGATGCTAGGGGACCTATTTAGTACAGGGGGCCAGGAGGACAGAGGTGACCAGTGGTGTCTTTGCTGGTTAACCCTGGGGAAAACAGGCACAGGCTTGCTCAATAGAGCCAGAGGCTCTGGGCAGCAGACCTACTACATCACTAGAGTACCCTGACAAGGCCATCATCCTACCTCTTCAAGAAGCCAAGCCACTCCATCCCATTAAGGTGGGAAGTATGGGTAGCCCACAGGTGACATCTGCCACAGAAGTGATGGTGGACAAGGGCAGCTTGTTTGTTTGTAGACAGCAGCCTTTAACAAGGAGGCAGGTGATGACTTGATTCAGGGGGTATTCCAGGCTGGAGACAAGTGGGAGCCCCAGGGTGGGGACCAGACTATGCCTTAGGTGGCAGCTCAGACCTAAGAGTTTTGAGCTACAGACAACATGATCCGTTTTCCTAAGTTTCTCCAAAGGTTTTAAGTATTTCATTATGTTTCTGTAGATGGATCTGACATCCATTCAACCTTACATGTAACTGACAGCCATGTGGACAGTGCTTTCTTTCCATTACATTACACGCAGGCCTTGGTGGGGGATGAAAGATGGGATGGCAAAGGCATCAGCTGTCATATCTCACTCACTCCTTGCTCACAGCCCCAATCCCAAACTCTCTGGAGTTTGCAGGTGTCTGAGGGCTGCTCATGCCATCATCTAGCAGCCCCAAGAGCCTGTGTGTCACAGAGTACACCAAACACCAAGGGCATGGGGGTATTAGCTCCTGGAAGTTGAAAAAGGGGCCTCAGTTTACACTTCCTAAACAAGACATTTATTTAAGAAAGATTTGGCCTCCTTGCCTAAAATGAGCTAATGAAAATTTGTATTGGGTTTTTAAGTGAGTTGGAAATACATAAATCTACTTTTCTCCATAAAAAAGACTACATCTCATCAATACTTAGATTTATGATGGTCAGAAATGAAAACATGAGACATTTCCATAAAGCTCAAGACTAAAAGAGTGGGTTAAAGGTCAGGGAGATGGCTCAGTAGATAAAGCACTTTTCACATAAGCACCAAGAGCTGAGTTCAAATCCCCAAAACCCCCACAAAAGATGACTACTGCAGCACAACTTTAACTCCAGCTCTCCTACAAAGAGACAGGAGGCAGAGACAGGAAAGTCCCTGGAAGCTCATAGGTCAGCTAGCATGTGCAACAGAAAAAATGATGCAGAGACCCTGTCTCAAATAAGATGGAAGGTGAGGGACTGAATCCTAAGGCTGCCCTCTGACCTCAGCATGGGTCACATGGCATGGTGGGGGTTGCTGTTTAAAAGGAGTGAGTCAGAAGTTCAAATAACCCCGATGCATTCATCATTGCCTGGCTGAATCTTCCTCTTTAAACTCCTATCCATCCATCTCCTAGCAAGCATTGCTAACGCACCAAATACTTGGCACACTGTCTTAGAGTGTGCAAGTTCTGTGATGTGGGTAATATTGTTTTTCCCATGCAGATGACTTTTTTATTGTGGTAAGAACTCTTGATATGAGATTGTCCGTGTTAACAGACATGTAAGAAATTACTGTTGACTATAGGTTCAATGTCAGTAGTTTATCCACCCGACTTCCGGGGAAACTTTTGCTCCCTTCTCTCGCCACTGCCTGGTAAACAGCTACCAGTCCACTCTTGGAGTCCATAAATGTGATTATTTTTTCCAAATGATGCAAGTTCATGAAATCATGCAGTGTTTGTTTTCTGTGACTGGCTTATTTTACTTAGCATGTCCTCAAGGCATACCAGTGCTATTAAATCTGTTGTAGAATTTCCTTCTTCTTGAGGGCTGAGTAACATTCCACTGTTTGCAGATGCTATGTCTCCTTTGTGCGTCTATCTGTCAAATGATATTTATTTGGGCCCTTTCTGAATCTTTCCTATGTGGTCATTATGATTACACCCATTTAACAGATGAGTTGACTGAGAGTCAGAGAAGTCAAGAAACCCTCAAATTCAAGTAACCTACTCAGACCAGGTCTTAACTACCTCTTAGCCCCAACTCCACCTCATAAATCTCAGCATTTGCAGCTCCATGGGAGCCATACCAGGATCCCCTTTCCCTCTGTGTCACATGCAGCCTACAGGCAGTAAATGCAGAGGGAGGCAAGCCAGGCTAAGGCATCCTACTCCAAGGGCCTGCTTCTATTATTCTACACTGTCCTCCTCCAATCTGCAATTAAGACTCGCAAGGGGTGGCTGTCTAAAACTCTGATTCTCATCGGATGGGCTGTTGCCTGGTATCTTTTGTACCCCAGGGTCAGGATCCTCAGGCCCTCTGCCTTTGTTGGACTGACAGTGCTCAGTAGGTTGCTGGCTTCCAGGAATATCTCAGACAGAGAGACAGAGTGGTGAGAGAAAAACCACGGCCAATTAGAAAGGTTTTTACTGACAGGAGTCCCAGGAGGGAAATCTGGGCCATCCCTGTGGAGCAGGATTGAGATGCCCTGGGAAAGATCCACGCAGAAGGAGGTGCTATTGCAGAGTTCAGACCAGATGGGAGAAAAGAAGAAACCAGTGGCTGGGCTGGGCAGAGCATCTCTGAATCTCTCTGGGCTGGGTGGGCTGAGGTGGTATGAGTGTACCCACCTTGATGCCCCACTTCAGTTCCTCCTGCCAGGGATGCTGAGATGGGAGCACTTGAGATGGGAGCACTTGCATCAATCCAGATGTAACAACCAGCTGCCAACCTCATGGGGACCCAGTTCAATGAAACTCAGGGAGTTCAATTTTCACCTCGTCTCTAAAACACAAAACAAAGACTTGCATGAGGAACCCTTTGGGACTTTTCCTTTCTGATTGGGAAATACACCCAGGAAGGTTGGAGGGGGACTGAATAAAAACTTTTGGGTGAATATAGTAACTAGGTGGCCTTTGCTGTCTCCTTTCCTTAGGAAGATTAGCAGGAAGTCCCTTAACCCAGACCACTTCCCAGCATCAGAAAGAGCAGAACATCCTGTCCCCACAGCTCTGCAAGGTCAAATCAATCAGTGGCATCTCTGTCCCCTTTTTTCATCAGAGGCCAGCATGACTCCCCTCATCAGCATTCTGCCGGCTAGGCGTCGAGGCTACAGGAATTGAGAAGTAGGTCACCCCACAGGCTGGGAAGGCTGCTGTGTGGTTTCAGCTAACTAGGTTGCTGGAAAGCCCCCCTGCCCACAGTTATCCCCTGAGTCACCACCTCACAGTGAGGCAGCAGACTGCCTCTGTCTGCAGCTCGCTTTGGTAAAGAAAGCCGTGCTATGGAGTACAGAGAAGGGAAGGACTTGCCTCTGAAACCAAGTCCAGCAGCCTCTCCCCCATTCACTGCAGATCTTTGAGCACCTTCCAGAAATCAGCCCTGGTGTGTGAGCACCTGGAAGCATGGCTGAGGAGGCCTCAGCCCCTGTCCTAGATTCCTAGTGCTCTCACCAAGACAAGCACTTGAGCCACAGGAGATGGAAGCAGAGGTGGCTCAAAAGCCTGGGAGGCTGCAGGTGGCACAGGTGGGGGTGTACAGAGAGGCAAGGCTGGGACCAGATGAGATCAGGGTAAAAGTCACCCACATCTAGCCACCCAATTGTTTAGCTCCCCAAGCAGAGTCAGAGCAAGGGAGGACAACACAATATTGGTCTTCTTCAAGCCCATGTGTTTGGCTACTAAGGTGGCATTTTACCCCAAAGATGATAAAGATGGTCTGGGTATTTTCTGATGGAAACATATGATCTGATATCTATTTCAGAAAGATGCCTCTGGGGCTGTGGAGTCTCTTTAATTGGGAAAGTGCTTACAAGACCTGAATTCAATCTTCAAAACCCACATCAAACAAAAGGCATATGTTAACAGCTCACATTCACATTTATAATCCCCAGGCCTGGTAGACAGAGACAGGTAGATCCCTGGGGCTTACTGGTCAACGAGGCTAGCCTACTTGGAGAGTTCTAAGGCAGTGAGAGAACCCTCTTTCAAGAAAAGTAGTAGACAGCATCTGAGGAGTGGTGTTCAAGCTGTTTCACTGTTGGGAACAAACATCTATAAACACCAACACACACACACACACACACACACACACACACACACACACACCCTTGACCAGAGACTGTGGGGATGGCTTAATGATAGGGAGCCAGAGGAGAGGCATCAGGGGCATACTAGGGACCCATTAGGCCTGGGGGAGAGTGACTCAGGACAGAGATTTTGTGGAGGGACACAAACTCACCCAGTAGGTGACAGTAGGGAGAAGCAGAACTTGTGATGAATTGAGAGTGATTCTGCCTGTCCTCATGTAATATCTGTTGAGTGTCCCTGGGTATGTTAGCTGCATCACTTTCCTAATCTCCACAGTTCCCTAATATGGGTCCTGGGCTTCTCCACATTTTGAAAAAAGCAAAACACAAAACAAAAACTGAGACCCAAAAGGCATCAGAGCACTGAGCTTAGAAATATTGTTTGAGGGTCCCTATCCCCAGAATCCCCCTAGCATGGAACACCCAGCTTCAAGTGTGAGCTGGAAGATCTGGGAGGGGGGTGGCATAGCTAGACACAGGCAAAGGGGAATGTCAGAAAGAAAGCAGACATACCCAGAGAACATCCAGGGCATTGTAACCCTGTAAATTTTTCTGTGATATGTTCTAGAATGCTCTATATTTCTGTACTGTCTAAGAGAATGCCCAAATGCACTTACTATTGCTGTGGGTACTTGAAATATGACTTCTGGGAATTTTAACTTTTATTTCATGCTCACTAACTTAAACTTGAGCCACTTCATGCAGGGCTAGATGTAGCAGTGAATGCTCATAATCCCAACAGGAGGCTCACTGGCCACCAGCCTATAGCCAATCTGACACACTCCAAACTGTGTGAGAGATTCTGTCTTGAGAAAGACAGAAAGACAAAAGCAGCAAAGTGGATGGCACTTGAGAAGACACTTGAGGTTGACCTTTGACCTTTAAATAAAACTTGCACTCACATACATGCATGGGCTCATGTGTGCATTTATGTATCCACACAGTCAGTTAGACACACACACACACACAGAGAGAGAGAGAGAGAGAGAGAGAGAGAGAGAGAGAGAGAGAGAGAGAGAGAGAGAGAAAGAGAGAGAGGTACTCCTAAATGGTTTCCACAAGTTCCTAAGGAATCCTAAAAGAGTGAGTGGTTCCATTGTTGTTCCTAATGGGGAATAACTCAAAATGTGAACTAGAAGCATCCAGAGGCGTTCATTTGCTAGTTCCCTTCAACTGTCGCCTGCCAGGGGTGAGCACATCTGTAATTACCTTCAGCATCTGTGGCATGCCACACGTCATCTGCCAAGCCCAGCCCCTTCTAGTCCATTCTGCTTCTCAGCTGTGAATTGAGCCTTTTCAGAAAAGCCAAAGGAAGTCAAAAGAAAGTTTCCAAAAAACAAAAAGAGAGACTGGGGCTCACAGATAAATGGTATCATTGCCCTGAACTCATTGTTTCAAACACATGATTTTATTTGGAGAGGAAAAAAAAAGTGTAATTATGTTGGAGTGGATTGCTAAATTCTTTGACTTCAAACCCAATACTTTCTGCAAGATTTCACCTGTGAAATCTGCAGCCTTTAATTATTGCCTTGCGTGTTAAAAAAGAGATGCCTTCTTTCTGAACGGCTAATAACTTTATTAGCAGAGGTAATTATAGATCTGAAGGCGGTGGCCAAAAACACAGAAGCATGTGGACGGCAACATTCTGAGTTTTGAACCTTGGACGTGGTGCACGAGGGGGCACTTTCTCCTCCACACTGTTTGTTTGTTTGGATTTGTTAGGTTTTCTTATCTTCCATGACACCGCTTCTTTTTACGGGGTGGGAGAGAAAACATTTAGAAATCGGTCCATTCCTGGATGAATTTCTTCCCTTCCCAGAAAGTGGGGGAAGAAAAAAAAAAAAAACCAATCTTCTCCTGTAATTGGACAGTTTGATTGGAGGCAGGTGGTGCTGAGCTGCAGCAAGCAGAGCCACAAAGCCAGTTTTGGCTTCAAGCACTCGTCCCCAGCTCTGAGTTTCAGCAGTACAACATGGAAATTGGCTCCCCAAATGCCAACAATAAATTTAGTCCCTGTTTCTCTAACAAGCACTTTATCAGTGTGGACAATTTTCAGCAAACTGGACAATGCACAGACACAGAGCTGGCCTGGACTATCCCTACCCCCACCCCTCACCTCCACCCCGCACCCCAGGCCTTAATTTCTCAGGACATATTCTTGCTGCCACAAAATTGGGACTTATGCATGATTCTGGAAGCAATCACACACTATCATCTGAAAACATGGTGAGATTTTTCTTTTTCTGGGTAAACTGGCCTCTGTGCTGCTCATGTTGCATTATCCTGAGCTAATATTTGCTTGCAATATTTTTGAGTAACAAGCCAAGTTATCGTGGCATTGCAGATTACAAATGTCAGTCCTGAGAACGAGCCAGAATGAGTGGCCAAAGGAGTAAGTAGAAGCTGTATTCTACTTTTCTACCACCTTCAGGCAACGTCTCTGAGACCTTTATTTCTTTTCTCAAGGGCCAGCTTGTTCATCTTAGCCATGCCCTACAGATCAGCCAACAACAGTATTCACCTTTTGTGAAACAAAAATGATGGAGGGCCTGAGCCCCAGAGAGGTTAATTGCTTTGACCAACATCACACAGTAAGCCAGTAGAGAAGTCAGAGACACAGGCACTAACTCCCAAGACCCTGATTCCAACTGTGTGTCTGTTAGCTTCCTCTCGCTAGCAGATCATTTGAAAATGCCATTTATAAGAATCTTAGAAGTAAAGGAGAGTGGGCCTGTAGTTCAGTTTGTAGGATGCTTGCCCAACGTACATGAAGCCTGGGCCTTGAGACCCAGAACCACAGAAACCAGGCACATGGCCACAGGTAGTCCCAGCATTCAGGTGGAGTCAGGGGAGTCACAGTTTGAAGTAATCCTCAGGCCCAGTTATACAGTAAGTTGGAGACCTGTGTGGGGAAGACAGAATGAATAGCTCAATTGAATTGTTGACCTTCGTACACTGTGACAACTTGGTCACTTCATTTATCTCCCCAAAGACATGTACAACTTTCCAGACCCCCTTACAGGAAGGGACTGACAAGGATGAGTCAATGGCAGAGGGACTACACCCTGGTGGGACGGCTTAGCTGCACTGTCCCCCTTACCTTCTATTTGAGCTTTGTCCTCATTTAAGGACCTCGAAGATAGACTTGGGGAAGCAACAGTTACTGGTCTCTTTGTCCTTCTTCCCAAACTGACCACTCTGAATAAGTCTCCTTTTTCTACTACTACTGCTGCTACTACCACTACTACTACTACTATTAATAATAATAATAATAATAATAATAATAATAATAATAATAAATATCAGTTATTTCCTGGTTTGGCATGTTTTCTTATTCATTTCTGTCCATACTCAGATTCTTCTAAATGTACTCTGGATTAGTTTTGAGCTTCTAATTCATTTGCAGAACTTGACAATAGCCTTCTCTGACCTCAAATGGATGTAGGCAGAGACAGTCACCTCCCCTCAGCTGTATCTGTATCAAATTATTCTGTGAAAACCAGTTGGAGAGTGTGCTCAGAGCCTCTGGAGTGCAACACTCTTGGTTTGCCCTTCCGAGCCTGTGGCTCACAAACTTGACCTTGCTCATGGGAGTCTCAGAGCCTAAGGTTCTGGAGAAGACACTGGGCCCCCTGAGTGGCCAGGACACTTCTCCAAATCTCACTGGCAGACAATCTTCCCTGAAAGCTGGCTAGCTGGTGCAAGGCACCAAGGACGAGTTTCTCCCAGCCCCTTAGATGATGAACTCTTCTGTCCTAAATGAACAACTTCGTGTGGCTGCTACTGGGTGGCTGATGGTGACAGGCAAGCAAGGAGAGAAGAGGAGTCCAGCAGTACCAGGGACATTTTCTCAGAAGGACTGCTCACTGGTTAAACCTGTCTGAAGGCAGACTGCATTTGTACAGGAGTGCTGGCTGGGAGATAACTCAGAAATCTTGGCAACACTACAGAAACAATATTTTTACAGAGGTGACACCATCTTAAACAATGTCCCCAGTGTGCAGGCTACAAGCGGCCCTCTATCCAAAGGGTGACTGTCCTTTCCACCTGTTCTAAGCAAAGAGGCTCAGGGGAGTGGGGCCAGGAAATAGGGGTAGGGAGTGGGCACGTTAGGAACACAGAAATTGGAAAGCCGTTTTGGGGCTCTCCTTCTATAATGAAGCCACTTCTGCCAACCTGCACCAAAGCTGGCTTCCCAAGGTAGAAACAGACTGAAGTGATGCCATCTCAGAGGCCAGATATTCTGCTGTTTTTCCAAGCCTGTGTGAAAACAGCCAGACACAAAGGCAACAGCACTCTACAGTTCCTCGTTCTGTGTCCCGCAGTCCTGGCACCTCACAGACAGGTGCAAGGGCACTGTGCTGTGTGACACAGCCTCCTCCCTCTTTGGCCTGAGCTCTTTCTCTGGAGAATTGCCACCTGTCCCTGACTGTTACAGCAACCTCCTTCTTCCTAGAATTAACTATCATTCCTTCCCAAAGCCTGTATCATTTCCCAGAAGAAGAAGAAAAAATAAAGAATCCCAGAACCTGCCAACCCAGTCCACAGTGTTGTCTGAGCTGGGTGGCCCAGCTGGGGTGAGACAGAAGTGTCCCTCAGCCTCCTGATGTGCAAACCACAGGTGGGCAGAGAGCCAGAAAGTGGCCCAGGCTGTATCATGGGGGCCTTGGCTGAGGCTGAAGGCCAGGAGTCATGGCCAGGGGACAGTGGCATCTGAGCATCCATCCACTTATTTGTTTGCTGAGCCCATGTAAGCAAAGTCCATGAATGGGGTGACTTGCACAACAGACATGAACTCTCTGATAGTTCTGGAGGCTGGAGCCTATAATCACGGTGTGCTGTGAGTTCTCTCTAGGGACACTCTGGGGACCCTCATTCACCTGATCCTAAGTTTAACCTGACTTTTTCTTCTTCTTCAATGCGGTACTATGAGCCATATTTTGATAAATTGTATGAAGTTCCTTCTCTTTCCACACATAGATAACATGCATTCTAGAATATATGCTATTATTTCAGCAGACCCCAGATCTTCCTTTATCAGCAGTGTGACAAGTTGGTTAAAGTCCTGACACTGATGATCTCGTCAGTAAAATGGTGAGCCACGCTGACCTCAGTTCTCCTGCCACCAACCATCATTCATAGCCAGGGCCTGTTAGCACTCAGTGTACTGTGGCTATTGAGAGTCTCCGTGCATACACATTTTCATAAAGCATCAGATGTAGGTCTAAAAGCACAGGAGAAGTTAAAACCAACTGTGTCCCCATGGCAGACAGGGGAGACCCCAACCAGGCACTCCTTTTCATTGTTCCTAATGGCAGAATCCTCGGGTCAGATCACACACTAACTTGGCAAAGCAATGTCCCTGTCACATGTCAGATGAGGTGTAAAAAGGATGCATTTGATCAACAAGGCAGAAATGCCATCTAGAAATTACATACCAACTTTCTCAGCACAGCCGCAAGAAGCCTGGGTGTCCTTGAGGTCTGTGAGCTGGGAGAGAGGTCACCCTGAGCCTTGGGGATCCTGACAGGCTTCAGCCTCAAGGAGCACAGCCTGGTGCTACAGAACCTGCCCTTGGGCCAGGCAGCATCCTGCTTCCCTGAGGCATCCTCTCCTCCTCTTCCCTCAGAGCCTACCTGCCTTCACACAGTAGCCTCAGGAGCCAGATCCTGCCTCCTCCACAGTCAATCCTGTGTGAAGGCCCTGACTCAAAAGGGCAGCCATACCCTTGTCTCATACCTCAGGTCCCTGTTAGGAAATCTGAATGTTTCCTATCACCCTTCAGCTACCATCCATCCATCACACAACTGCATTGTCATGGCACCATCTTCAGTGTACCCCTAGGCACAGATACCCTAAGAACTGAGAATATACAGAACACAGATTCTCAGTGAGAAATAGAAGTTGTATAAATTAACCAAACTGTCAAGGCAGGGAAGGCAAGGAGGAAAGGAAGTGGGCCAGGATAAAAGCTTCCTGCAGGTACAGCAGCCCTAACCCATCAGCCTCTAGATGCCTTACCACCCACACCAGCCCAGCCCTTAGGATTCTTTGTTTTCCTCTGCGATGACCGGTCTGGATGGTTTGGACTTCAGTATGTCTAACCAGAGACTTGGTTGAGAGGTCAAGTTGGCCTCAACCACCCAAGTGCCAGGAGGACAGGCATTCACACCCATGAGAAGTCCCTGAGTTCTCCTTGGCTCTCCCATTTGGCAATGTTTGGGAAGCCTTGCAGTCAGGCTGGAGCACAGACTTGGAATGGAGTCATTAGGACCACAGCTCTGGAAAGGCAGAGGCTCTAGGGTTGAGGAGATGGGTAGACCAGCCTGTGCAAGCGAGACTGGGACTACATTTCTGAGTCCCGAGTCTACCTATGTCTGTGGGTGCTGCATACCTGTATTCCTGAGTGTCACACATTTATCCCAGGTACCACACACCTGTGGTCCAGGTATGTGCACCTGTGTCCCTGGGAGACACATTCCTCTGTTCCCAAATCTCACACACCTGTCCAGGATACCGCACACCTGTGTCCCTGAGTGTTGCACATCTGTATTCCTGAGTCCCAACCATTTGCACCACATATCACACATATGTGTCCTTGGGTTTCTGTAGTACTGGGGGCTTGGTATTTGTCTGACAGCCAGTCCCTTGATAAGTGAATACATATACATTCTCCTTGAAGCCCTGTTACAAACCCCACTAGTTCGCTTCTTACCATAATTCCATGCACTATAGCCATCATACCCATTTTCATCTGAGGAAAGAGGGGCCAATGGAAGTTATATCACTTACCCAAGATCGCCTGTGAGGAGGTGGCAAAGCCAGTCCCAGGCCAGGCCTTAGTTCCAGGCCGCATGTTCTGATATGGGATAATGCTCTTGTTCACTGTAAAGATTTGCCACATGAGGAGGATTCTGGAAGGAAAAAGGCAGAGACACAATCATCAGCCAGACACAGAGGAAGTAAGATAAAAATGCCTTACTGAGACAAGGTACTGAGCCATGTGGCTAAACATAGATGAGAATCATGGGTTAATTTAAATTGTAAGAGTTTGTTAGTAAGAAGCCTGAGCCATCGGACAGTTTATAATTAATATAATCCCCTGTGTGTTTATTTGGGACTGAATGGCTGCGGGACAGGGTGGGGCAGAAACTTCCATCTAAAGGTTCTGCCTGCCTGAGCCACTTACCCTCCTGGCGAAAGAAGTCACCACATGCCTGGAAGAAATGTTTGTAGCCATACTGCACCAAAACATTTGAAGTGACTATATCCTACCCTTTGACTCACTAAGTACCTTCTGGGAAGCCACCCAGGGGAAACATCCCAGAATATGAGAAAAACCATTATGCCTGAAGATGTCCATTGCTTTATTATTTATTGAGCACACGCTACATCCCGAAATCCTGGGAGACATATAAATCTCCACCCACAGGCAGACAGTGCAGCACATAAGAATATTAAGCTATGTGTTCACTTAAGGGATGCTAGGCAAAGAGGGTGAGAATATGGAGCTGTGTGTTAGAGCTCTACAGGAGGACAGGGGCACACAATGCCTGGGTGTTCTGTTTTCTCCTACCAGTCCCCCTTGAGTGCAGCTGCACGAGAACTGTACGGGTTATCAAGGAAGAAGGCGGAAAATGAGAACAACCGAGGTTTTGTCTGCTGAACCCACAATCAATGGATAATTACAACTGTTTGAGAAAACTGATGCGTAGGGGAAACAGAACAAGCTGGAATGCATTGGCGAGTGCCTGGAGCCAGTTTCTGGAGAACTTAGAGGTAACTGCTTTTCTCCTGGTGCCTTACCTTTTGTACTTTGAGTTTTTCAGTGGTGAGCATTGCAGGGTTAGTTTGATTTAATTTGTTAATAAAACATATACTTCAGTTTTTGGAAACGGCTTTCCTCTGTGGCTTCCCTTCAGTTCCATGCATGCATGGTTCTGGGGGATATTTGATGGCAGACTGTGGGAGTTTCTTGAAATCTCTGTCATATAGCCCAGGACCTGAAGGCCTTAGAGCTAAGTAAATGTCCCTATAACAAAGACAGCATATGACCATATAAGAGGACTCCTCTTTGCTCCAGGATTGTAGACCCCAGCTCTACTCCTTTCTGGCTGTCTGAACCTGGGGCACACCAGTCCCTAAGTCCCATACACTTGTCATAAACAGTAGATACCCAATCACTGAAGGTCATTGTGTGTCGCTAGTTATTGAACCTATGTAACTTGGAGCAGTTGTGAAGTTTTGTCACCTCATCTGCTTCCATTCAACAAATGTCACCAAGTCTATCTCCCATCCTGTAAGAGTGACTCTGCGTGTTTGATGGGTGATAGTATGTTGCCTAAGAGCTTATCAAGAGATATCATATGGACCATAGCATCTCCCCCCAGAGAAAGATCCAGAAGAGAGCTTCACTGACAGGACCTGGATGGGAAGCTGCTGTGATGGGAGAGCCCCAGCTGATGTTCTCAGCTCTGGGAACAAGTGCCACATCTGACAAGGCTGAACTTCCTGGGGAAGACAGCCATGCTCCAGCCCTGCTTCCAGTTTGCTCACCTCGCAGGGTGACCAAAAAGAAACCCAAGAGTAAACAATGCAAGTGACAAGGACAGTATCAGATGGCTGAGGTAAATGTGCCACCACCCCCCACACACACACACACAGTGACTGTTCCTGCCATGAATAGTGCCTCTGACAGTGAAGGAAGAGCAATGACGGAAAAGGCCCAAACTCACTGCTGCAGTAGCAATGGAGGAGGTTTTGCCTCACGTTAGATGCATCAGAATCTGAAGAGAGTCTGGCCCTTGTATATCTCCCAAATGAGACTGATCTCTTGGACAAATACCAAAAGGTGGGGGTTTAGCCTGAGCTCCACCTGGGGAAGGGACCTTGTTCTTCTCTAGCCCCGTGTCCACCTGTCTCAGATCACCCTCATGATCCTGCCATGGTGTGTCAGAATGGGTATGACACTCATTTCCACTCCATCTTGCCAGCTTCTCTCCTTGCCTTGCAGTAGAGCTTCCTAACCTTTTGCCTTGCTGTGTTTACCTGCTCATCAGACAGAAACTGCCAGAATAAGGAGGCCCGGGAACAGAAAAACCACCACCACCCTCAGAAGGCATTTGAGAGGAGAGTGTGGCTGTGAGGACATAAAGGACGAGGGTGTATCTCCCAAGTGGACAAAAGTCAATTCCAAAATCTAGGATCAACTTGCAGGCAACTGTGAGCTATGGGAAGTTCACATGGCCTCATCAGCCACCATCAGGGTCTGTGTGCACCAGTGTTTTACATCAGCGGAAGCCCCATGATAGAATAATCGCATCTCTGCTAGTCTGCTGGGACTTCTCTAAGGAAGACCTACACCAGAGGGTTTTGCAACTGGAAGTCCAAAAGCAAGCTTCCCCTTGGAGCCTCTCTGCTGGCTATCTCCCTTTTCTCATGGACTTACACCTACCTTTCTGTGTGCCTCTATTCTAATCTCTTCATAGTAGGACAACAGTCAGACCCAATGAGGGACACTCCAATGACTCATTTGGACAGAATTTCTTTAAGGCCCTAGGTCTTGTACATCTAAACACAGTCACATTCTGGGGTTAAAACTCCAGGCTATGGTTTGAAGGGGAAGGCACAACTCAGGTCCCTTAGATGAACAAGAGAAACCAAAGGTCAGGGACCTTTCCTGGGATTTAGATAACTTGGTGTCAGAAGCAATGGTAGGGCACTGAGCTGCTGACCCACAGCCTCTGCCTCTCCTATGATCCTGGAAACCACACACAGCTCCAGGCAACCTGTGAGTGCAGTCTACCCTGGGGAAAGTGAGGCTGGCTGCTGTGCAGGAGAGCACTGTGTTTAAAGATGAGAAGTTCATGGGTGGACACATGGCCATCTCTGTGGCTTCTGGCAGCTCATTTTAAGCTGTGGGATAGGAGGGTTAATCTGAAACTCACAAAGGGTCAGCTTAGATGTCTGTATTGGGATGTACCATGGGGTGAGATTGGGATAATGGGCCCCATCACATAAAAGCAGTAACAGGACATGGACACCAGATGAAATACACTTCCTACACACTTTGGAAGCTTATTGAATCGTGGTATGGCAACTTCTCCTCATGTCCCCTCATCACTCTCCTGGAGATCAGAGAGGTGACAACTCACTCTTCTCCGAGGCAGTGATGTAAAGAAGGGCAAACATGGCTTGGGAACACTGGGTCATGAGTAGGACCTCTGAGTATTAACCAGTAATGGGGGCAAGCATTGTAACTATTCCAAGCATGAACTCTTTAGTTGACAATGGACGATCATATAGTAACTGTCACCACAGTGAGATTGCTCAGTTCAGTATGAAATGGGGCATCAAGCTGGCCAGAGTGAATGTCTACCAAGTGCTTATGTGAAGCTTGGGGGAGAAGGTCTGTCCAAGCATGAGCCTGTAGTAGGTGTCCCCTGTCTATCCTTTCAAGCAGGATACCCAGCCCAGGTCTGCTCAGTTTTGGCAGATTCTCCTTCAGTGTACACTTGGACTATGTGCCATGGCCATAGCATCCTGAACACACCAAGTCTCCTCTGAGAGTGTCTCATGGCACTCAGGTGATGAGCAAATGTGTCTGCTTAGTCCCTTGTCTCAGCCAGTGCCTCCTCTCATTTAATACTCAGGCAGAAGTGAAGCGAGTTGGCTTGATGTCCTTGCCCTGTGTCTTCTGAGTCCAAATCTGGGCCACTTTAGATAGTGAGCAGAACCTCTGGCTTTTCCCTTGCATGACATACTGTGGCCTTGGCTAATGAGAGCTGCAATGGCTTCTAGAACAGGGCAGTGAACTTGCCATTGGCATTGGCCTTCAGGTAACTTGGTAACTGCTTGGCTGGCTAATCTGCCCAGTTTACTTAGTTACAGAAATTCTACCACAGTGTTCATTCCCTGATCTTACACTAAATAAAGGGATGGGGAGAAGGGATAGATGAAATTGCTGTGTTTTTAAAATATACAGAGAGGTATATAAAATACGTCACAGTGGGATTTATATGATAAATGGGGAAATAAAATAACATAAAATATTTGTACCTTGCTTGATATCCTATTTCTAAAAAATTATTACAGGCCAGGTGTGGGGGTGCACACCTTCAATCCCAGCACTCGGTAAGCAGAGATTGGGGAATTTCTGTGAGTTTGAGGCCAGACTGGTCAACATAGTGAGTGCCAGGACAGCCAAGGATATGTAGAGAGATCCTGCCTCAAAAAATAAAAAATTTTACATTGACTTATTATTGACTTATTATGTATGTTGGGGAGGAAGCTTGTTCACATGGTACAGTGAGTGGGTGGTGGGGCAGGGGACAACCTATGGAATCAATTCTGTCCTCCTACCATATGGACAGAGTGACAGAACTAGGGTTTAGAGGTCTTCTTGGGGGAATCCATTACTTCTTTTATCTATGAGCAGCCAACATAAAATCTAGCTGCCCCACCCCCCACAGGTTTCCATCACACTTTCCCACTAAGGGTGAGGAAGTACCAGGTGTAGGATCTGTACTCCAGATGGCATGGGAGCTGGTTGCAGGCCTTCCTGGCTGGCATTCTGCAGTGTGAGCCAGGCTAGGTGAGCCATAGTTCTCTCCTGGCCCTGAAACGTGCAAAGCACACAATGTTTAGATGTTTTTGTTTTTTTTTTCCTCCTTTTGAAGTCTTTGATCACATGGATTCGAACTCAGACAGGAGCCATGCCTAACTTCATGCACATCCTCTCTGGATGTTGGGATCCTAAGGCCTCCTACACCGTGCCAGCAGTGCCCCAGCCTCCCAAAATTTAGCAGCTTGGCTCCATTGGGGTGTGCTCCAAAGTTCAGTGTCTGCATCTCAAGGACTAAATTCGGTAATAACACCACCACAATCTCACCAAAAAGCATTATAGTGATTATTG